CATATAAAATTTCCAAAAAGAGAAGACATATTATGATATGCTAAATCTAGTAATAATTTAACATTAAATTCAAAAGATAATGGATATAATTATTACATTTAATAAACACAATCTAAAAACTAAAAGAATATTGGTGATCGACAATCATCACTATGTTATTTATTACCAATTGCAGATCTCTAACAAAATTAATGTCCATTATTAATCCATTCCTTTTATATTAATATCATAAATCCATCAAATGTTCTGTAATATCCATCTATCATTATCTATACTAATGATATTAATTAAGGTGTTTTATCCCATCCATCATTACAATGAACTAACACATTCAATTTCTCTCTTGTTAAACTTAATGCTATTCTAACAGCACCTTGTATAAGAGATACTATATGTTCATACCAAATAGATATTTCTAATTATGAAATAAATTAAATAGTCTCACTATTATAATTATACAAACTTCTTACCTAAATGAATTTTTCAATAACTTCATTTAAGATTCTCTAACTTTATGTATACTCTATATTTCTAGAAATTCTAAACTGCAACTTTTATAATAAATTGGAATCTCAAAACCCTTACCAGCAACTTATTATCCTATAGAATTAACATCTGAACGAGCATCATATATTTTTAATCGAATTTCTTCTTATTAATTATCTTATTCATCAACCATTTATTAAGACATCTATTTTAAATATAATTCATCTTCTAATGATCTTATTTAACCTATTCCTATTCTACATTATGCACTTCTCCATAATGACACAATCTTTCCATTCACTTAAAATGCATATGATAAAATTGGTATTCTTTCCTTTGATCTAAATTTAGCTGTCTTCTATATACAATCCATATCAACTTTAGAAGGTACAATTAATCTATTGTAATATGTTGCACATATCTATCCACCTTCATTATTCAAATATTTAAATAATCCATTAATTTATTATTAATAATTTTCTTATTAAACTATAATTCCCATTCTCTCAAAGTCTTTTTCAATATTATATATTTTCCATCCTTAAAATTCATTCTCCAAATTCTACATTTCTTTATAATATGTAAATGCAAATAATGTTGTCTTCTATAAAGTAAAAGCATTTTTATTAATCAAATTAAATAGACATGCACAATCATCACTTTGCTCTCTCTAAAATCTATATCTAAAGTATCTACCATCTTTTGATGATATCTCAATTAAATTTGAATCATTTTACTTCTTATCAATAGTTCTATCCACTTTTATCAAAAATGTATAAGGTACTTAAAAGTAATTCTTTTTGAACTCTATAGGAAATCTTTAAGGCAAAAAAACAATCTTTTATTAATAACAATATTACCTAATAATTTGTAGCTACCAATAATCCCTAGAATTATTATACACCATTATAACACACAACATTTACTTATTATAATGCTACCTCTCCTGCTTATACAAAATCTAATCCTAACTAATTTAAGTCTTTTGTTTAATTTATAGGTAAAACATTTGTCTCTTGATTTGATTATTCATCAACTTATTTTATAACATTCGATTATTAGGGCTGGTTAGAAGTATTTCTAAAAAATAATTTCTATTATTTTATTATTCATTACTCTTGGAGCGTCTGACATTAAACAGATTATTAATAATCTTAACTAATATATTTATTAAAGTATAATTAACAACAATTAGAAACCATTTTTTATTATATAAAATCATTACTAATTTATTTAATCTATTATTATTTTACTCATATTTCTACATAGACTTTTGATATTATAATTATTCTTATTAAAATGATAATCCAAAATAATTATATTGATTTAAATGTTATTATTCAATAATTGTATGATAATATACACACACTAAAGAATATTAATTAATAATTTTTTTAATTAAATAGTAAACTTTAATGTCTTTAAAGAGTAATTTCTAAATCATAAATTATTTAAATGAATATCATATATATATTTCAAAAATAATTCTTTAATATAAGTTGTTGAGTATTATTTATTAGTTATAAATTAATTAATAATATTACTCACTTTCTTCATGAAATTAATTTAGAAACATTAATTTTATTATCCAGTTTTAATAATGTTATTTGAATTATTAACAAAATTATATATATTTATTAAATATTTTTATATTAAAATGAAAGGAAGAAAAAATTCATAAAGTGGGAAAGTTAGTGTAAGTATATAAAAATAAGATAGGAAAGAAGCAGTAGAAGATAATTGGAAAATGAATAATTAGTTAAGAAACCTGAATTTTTGAAAGCAGCAACTTTAGGATAAATATTTTTAGTTTGTACTCAACAATTGGGAGGATTAGAGGATGGTAAGTGAAATAAATACAATATAGGAAAAATCACTAAGTTGTAATTTAGAAAGTTTCTAATGACTGAATAGATTTGTTTTGTTTTCAATTTAATGGGTTTAGGTTTGAGTGTAATGTAATATGATTTAGAATTTGAAGAAGAGGATGAGGATGTACTTAGTATAATATAGTAATTAGATTTCAAGTTGGTTATTATGGATCATATTTATCTCTACATTGGCATTATTAGTTTTAACAGTCTTACGTTATTAATAACATATGAATTGGTTAAAATCAAGAAAACAAATTAGTTAAAATGATAAAATATGGTAAACTGAATAATGGTATCCAATGCTTATAGAATTGATTATTTATTGTATAGTTCCTTATCCTTTTACTATTGGGATGAGAGTATACTTTTACAATAGTTTTCAAGATGCAATGGCTTATTATCATGTCAATGAAATTCTTGCATTGATTATGATAACCAGAACAGTGTTTATATTCAGAACTATTTTGGCATAGACATTTTGGTACAGTAACAGAACTCAAAGAGTATGCAATCTATATGCATGTGAAGGTAATTATATGTTTGTGGCAAAATCATTAATGAGAACTTCCCCATACACTTCATAATTTATAGCTCTTGTGTCTTTGATTGGTATATTTGGTTATGGAATAAGAATATGTGAAAATCCATTGGCTAGGAATGACCCAGCTAATAATAATTTAGGTAGATATGCTAATGCTTTATGGAATATTATTATTACAATAACAACAGTAGGATATGGAGATTTCTATACAAGAACAGATTTAGGAAGATTTGTTATTTTTGTTGTTTGTATTTTAGGAATATTTGTAATATCTGTTATGGTTGTAACTCTTATTAATTCTTTGGTTATTTCAACTTTAGAATCACATGCAATAACTGTATTAGAAAGAATTCAATTAAGATAGAACTTAACATAATCAGCATCATAAGTAGTGCTATATTCACTAAAAATCTATGTTGCACTAAAGTACAATTATATTCTTATAATTTAGAAAGGGAAATTTAAGTAAAGTCTAACTTAAAATATTATTGATTAAATTAAGGAAGAATTTGAATGATTTTAAAATTTCAAGAAGATAATATAGAAATAAATAAGATGTAGGCAATATGAATGAAGAAATTACTAATTAATTTAGTCTCTTAAAATCAGATTTTAGTGAAGTTATTGAAAAATAAAAAGGATTATTGTTATAAAATTAAGATATAATGAATAAATTAGGAGTAGAAGCTAAACCCTATATATCAAGTCCTTAATTATGATCTATATATATATATTAATAATAATAATAATTATTATTATTTCTAGGTCAAATAAAATATTTTTACAAATCCCAATAATTTCATTTAACTATTTTTAAATACAATCCAAATTTTTAAACAAAAATCAGATTGAATTACTTTGTTATGAAAATCAATTATATAGAAATTTATTTTCTAATTATTTACTAAATCATAAAAATCTCTTAAATATGCCATTCTAAATAGTACTCTCAGATTTTAAATTAACCATGAACAAGCTTCTATCATATTAAGATTAGAGAAAGATGAATGCAATTTCAAAGAATATGTATTTCTTGATAAAGCTGAGCCTTGGGAAAAGAAATTAAAATCTAAAATACTTTAATTGGATTATCAAACCTATTATGAATTGAAAAAATTAGTTGGTAATGGTTGTTTTGCTTCTGTATATATTGCTAAGAAGAAATTAGATGGTTCTAAAGTGGCTATTAAGGCATTTCTTAAGAAAATGTTAATACAAAAGAATCCAAATTCATGGAGAGTATTATTTGTATTCTAATTTTAGTTAACAATAGAAAATGAGATAAAGGTAATAAAATCATTAGATCATCAAAGTATTCTTAAATTTTATGATCACTTTAAAAATAGGGCTTAATCATATATTTTTGATGAGTCTGGCAAGAGGAGGAACTCATGAATAAGGATTAAAGAAATTAGAAGAACCTTTACCATTTTTAACTGTTAAAGTTATTTTTAGGTAAATTGTAGATGCAATTAAATATATTCATTAACGTGGATTTATACATAGAGATTTGAAACCTAGTAATATTTAGTTGAAAAAACCAATGGCTTTAAAATATATAATGAAAAATGTTAGAATTACTAATAAACCATTATTTAATGCTTATAATTAAATTGCTTTGAAATAGTTGAATAAGGAATGTAATTTTGATTGGAATAAAATTAATGAAGAATTATATAATAGTAGATAGTTGACACATTTATTGAAGAAAATGTTGTCTATAGATCAAAATAAAAGGCCAACATGTTCAGATATACTTAAAACTAAGATCTTAGATGTAGAATATGATAATGAAGGATGTCCCTTATTTATTAATTACAAGAACCCTAAATCTTAATCTATTTAATAAGTAAAAACCTCTAGACCTTCTATAAAATCAATACGCAACAATAGATTACCATTGGTGTCTTCTAATCTTTATTATAACATTTAATAACATAAAAATCCTTAGACCAAAAGATCATGAAATCTTTTATTACCTTCTATCAATAAGAGATTACAAACAGAATAATGTTAATATTGATAATACTCTATATTGTAACAAAATTTTCAACAATATGAAAGTATAAAAATCAGTAAACTTATGTTGTAGTTGGTCTATCTAATTCTTTATACAATCCCTATTATTATAGTCTGACCTCTTTATTTTTGATACTATTATATTTCAATTTCTAATTATATTATTTCAAAAGATTACTTAATTCTCATTTATTAAAAGAGTCTCAGATCCAATAATACTTTCTCTAATTTCTACAGTTCCTATTTAATCAATCAATCTTTCATCTCTTGTAAACAAAACAGTAGTTTTATTATTACCCATTATTCCTCTTACAGTTTAAGTTAAAGTTGATAAATTCAAATAGCCCTTATAATAATAAATTAATTTATTTACTTGATACATAATATTATCATCAATTGAGATTTCACATTCCTTTACTCCTCTGACAGGTGTTTTACTATAATTGTAAAATGATATGGCAGATATTTATTAAGGAGTATCAAATAGTAATATTAATTTGTTGACTTAATAACTAATTTGATCAAAAATACTCGAATTAATATTCGTTTTTAATCTATCTGTATATGAATTAACGAAAGGAGATAACCACATTTACTTAGCATCTAAAGTAATATTAACATTATTTAATAATTTATCTGGAGTTCGAACATCCATTTCCATTTAAGGTAATTCTTTAACTGAAAATGGTTTTGCAAATAATTTTGGATAAAGCTATTCTCCATTAGGATCAAATATTTCAATTCCATTTAATCCAATATAATGTAAGTCACCCCAAGTAGATAACAATTTAATAACTAATTTTGTGCCTTAAGGTAATTGTGTAGTTTCATAATCTTAATATATATTTCTTTCAAATTGGTAATTTACCATAACTGTATCTATTCTTTTCTAATATGGTAATTCAATCAATTGAGGTTCATTAACATCACTTAATCCATGTCCTTTTCTCAAATAGATACCTTACTTAGTATTTAGAATTTGATTATCTCCCTTTATGTTAATCATTTATACTCCTTTTTCTAATTCATCTTCTTTATTATAATTCCAAATTGCAACTCTACTAATTTAAGTTGGTTAAATAAAAACAAATTAAATCTTTATTTTTCCATTATTTAATTACCATCTTTCATCACTATTTACAACAGTCTCAGATTAAGATGTAATAACTTTATATTTCTTTATTTTCATTGATTATCCAAATTTATCATGAATATCAATTTTATCAAGTCCAATAAATTTATCACCCCAATTTCTTATTAAATATAATGTTAATACTTTTATATTTACTGTTGGTAAAGTTTTAACATTAATTTAATTTTGAGATGAGAATAATCTTTTAGGATGTTATTGTAATTTAGATTCAGATTCCTATCTTATTATTTATGGAATTGAATCTGATTTTTAATGTTAATAATCTTTATTAAATTAAGAATTAAGATTATTATTTGCAAACTTTTAAGCTGTAATTTCACCTTTTGGTTTATTAAATGTTGCTGTATCTGGTCTACTTAATTTGACAGTATTTTCTAGAATATGTTTCTATTATTATATTTAACTCTCATGTAATTTATTAAGCCAATCCTATTCTTAGATTTTTTCCATAATTTATGGATTATTAGTAAACATTATATATTCAGCATTATCTATACCACATGTACCATTAGCTTATTTAATTTCTCCACTAAATATTGAATCTGTATCCAATACTATTTCAATATTACGAACACATTTAGCTCTATATGTTCTACCTTTATTATAATTCCAAATTCTAATCATTGATAATTTAGTGTCATTAAACTTTATTGTAATTTCCATACTTTTATCTATTCTTTCTATACACATATTTTTATCATCTTAAGTTAAATAATTATCATCAAATAAAACAGCAGCATTTTTGAAAAATCCAGATACTGAATTTATTTTAACTTTTTTTCCATTATAATCAAAGATTTCAATACCTGTTAATCCAATTGAATAAAGATCTCCCCAATTTTTTAGAAATTTAATAATTAATTTAGATCCAAAAGGACATTCAGGAATTGATATATTTTTAGTGCGAGTAGATGTAGTTCCTGCTGCAATATGAGCAACTCCTCTTTTAAAATTTAATTATGGACTAGTTGAATCATCTTCAGTCAATTATTTTTAAGAGAATAAATTCATAGATTTCTTAAAGAATCTCTATTAATGAATAGTTTATTTAGTTTTGACTGAAGATGGTTCTTATTTTTATTCAAATTTTTTAAATTTCTTATCATCATCAAAAGGATCAAATATTAATTTAGGTTTTGCATGTTTTTATTAACTAGAAGCTTTGGATAAATTAATTCTAAATATAAATATAATTATTATTACTCTTTATTTTCATCAGATTTTTTGGAATTAATGGATTGTGATGATTAATTGAATGGTTGAGTAGAATCATTTTGATTCTTATTAATTCGAATTTCATTTTCTTTTATTGTATTTATAATTTATTAAGGTTATGATTCTAATTCAATAGTTTAAGCATATTCTGAAAATGTATTGGCTACTCCTCTAGCTATTTAACCTTACCATAATATTTAATCATTCTAAAGGATTTCTAATTCACAAACACACTTATCCAATTCTTTTCTATTTTTATTAAAATTCCATATTTTAACAGATGTAAGAAATTCAGATTCTTCCTAAAGTAGATAACATATTGTAATTGTGATTGGGAATTATTTAAAATTAGTAATCCACATCTATTCAGGATATATAGTTAAATTGTGTCCATTGATCAAATTATTAATAGTTTTATGTGAATCATCATCAGAATATATGCAGTTAATTTTGACATATTTTCTGTTATTATTAAACAATTCAATACTAGTTAATCCAACCTATGTTTTATTACCATAATTCGAATGAATTTTAAGATGTATTCTTTTACTTTTGAAGAAAGAGATAAGTTCTTCATGTTTAGGTTAACCATTTTCAATGGATGCTAGAATTTGTAGTACTAATTCTTATTCATATTGTGGGAGCTTTTGTATTCTATTAAGTTCTTGTTAGTATGAAAAAAGAATACCTTGTTTCCAGATTATTTAAAATTTATCTCTCTACGTTAGATGTTGGAATTGTTTTTTATTAGGCAATGTAGGTTCTAGGTTTAATTAAAGGTTTCTAATTAAAATATCAAGTAGTTCTTACATGCAGTTTTTCACCATCTCTTATTGATCTATTGAGAATACCTGCCTATTTAACATCTAAAGATTTCATAAATGATAGGATTGTATTATCTGGATTCATTTCTTGTTGAACCAGAGGTGGCTTAGTAATTGTTCTTGCAGTACTTGAGATCTGTTGAATTGGTTTTGAACTGTTATTACGTGGAGTAGCCTATTTTTCGAGAGGCAGTCTTTAAACACTCATATTTTATTATTTATTAACTAAGTATTGGGATTTTTACATTACCAAATTTTAATTAATGGGTGAGATTGTTTCTAATCAGCTGTTTGTAGCTGGATATAGTCGTAGTAAGGTGGCTGATGAGAAAGATGTGAGAGAAATCTTTAGAAAGTATGGGTCAGTAAAAGAAGTGGCATATAAGGGCTCTTACTCTTTTATAGTAACTCTTTTCAATTTAAGTTCATTAGACTTTTGGTAATGAAGATGAAGCAAAAGAGGCTCTTACAGAAATGAATGGGGCATCTCACAATGGATAAAAATTAAAAGTGGATGTTGTTGACAATCGTAAATAGAGAAGAATAGGACCTAATGAAAGTGATCAATGCTTTAAATGTGGAAAAGGAGGACACTGGTATTTAGTTCATTTATTCTTAATAGGGCCAGAGATTGTCCTAAAGGAAGATCTCCTCATAGAAGTAGAAGATACTCAAATTCTAGATCTAGGTTGTTAAGACATTCTATTATAGACATCACAAAAGAAGATCTGGCTCAAGATCCCGTTCTTCTTATTCATCCTCACGTTCCAGAAGAAGAAACAGAGATCACCGTAATAGACATAGGTATAGCAATAGTCCAAAGAGGGGTGAAGAATAAAAAAAGGGAAATTACAACAAGAGAAGATCACCTTCAGACTCTTAACATCATTCCACATCTTGAATAAACATGGGCAAAAACAAAAACACATTTTATTATTCAACATTATTCTAATTTAAAAAATAAGCTCTTTTTCCGAATTGATTTACAATATTCCCTGAACATATATAATAATAATCATTCATCAAATTTTGCTCACTAATTTATTTGTTAATTCTCTTACTTTCTTAAGCACCCATTCTTGAAATCTATGATAATTCCTCACTAACTTCTAAAAAGTGTGAAAATGCAAATGGAGCAATTAAAAATATTAATCCTTATTTCTTTATTACAATTTTATACCTGTTGTTCCAACCCATAAAAATCTTCTTGATTATTTATATAAATATCTTGGATTCAACCATCCTGTTTAGAAAAATCTAATTAACTTTCCCCATAATCCCTTGGCAGGCTTCTATTAGTTTTGGCTTTAAGAAGCATTTGATCTATTTCCAACACCATATCTAGATGAATTCATTAAAATATTTAATTATTTATTGCCTTAATTATTTTTAATTAATCTTTACTTTTTATTAAAAAAATTAAGAAAAAAACTCCGAAAAGGCGGATTTGAACCACCGACCTGGGGATAACTGGATAACACTACAGTCCCTCGCTCTACCAACTGAGCTATTTTCGGATGTTAACATTTCCATCCCATTTCTATTTATTACTATCAAGATAATTTATTAAGTTCAAATATTATTATGCAAATCATTTTAGGATTATAAAATTCTATTAGCATTAATAAGATAATTGATTATTTATATGATCAAGATAATCACTATTGTTTAAAAGCATCATGGCAATTTTATAAATTTTTAAATGAAATCTCAAATACTGAATTTTAAGAGTGTTCTATATTTTGAATTAAATCA